AGAGAAGCAAAGACTAGGATCTTAACATAACATCTTTTGTCTGCTAAAAGACAATAAAAAGCCCAGTCTTTCCTTAACCGTATTCAGAATATTATTGATAGAAAAATGCTTTCTATATGAGATCACTGCTGCTTTAAATTATGTTCATCCTACTGTTAAGTGTCATATAGTTTATTTTAAAAAAACAAAAAAACTTTCAGTACAAACATAAAGGTGCTAACCCAGTAAATATCTGTAACATTTGATGTTTTTTACTCAAAATGATGCAGAATCAGATTATTAACAACCTCATCCATTGTGTAACTGACACCACCAACATATTATTACACACGTTCTGTTTGGGTTTCTGGTAATAAGTGGAATTACCAAAATCAAGTAATAAAAAAAAAAGGGATATAGCCCAAAATGTGAATACAGGAAAATACCGCCATGTAATCCATTTATAATTTGTATTCTGATTACGTAAAGCCGGTACATGTAATCCATTACTCCCCAACACTGTGTGTGTGTGTGTGTGTGTGTGTGTGTGTGTGTGTGTGTGTGTGTGTGTGTGTGTGTGTGTGTGTGTGTGTGTGTGCGTGCGTGTGTGTGTGTGTGTGGGAATGAGTGAGTGGTTCCTTGTTTTTACCTTGAACGTGGAAAATCGCTCTATAAAAATGTGACCATTTACCACTACAACTTCAGAAACCTGATTCAATGTGCAGCAGTTTCATTAGTGGAATGCACGCTCTGAAGGGGGAGTGACTTAGTGCAGAGAGCAAAGAGAGGGGTGGGGGACTCAAAGCATCAAAATCGAACTTTAATTAAACATTTGAATGCCTTGTTTTTGGTGAATATAGTATTTTCAAAACAATAAAAGGTAACATGGTGATCTAAATATGTGTTAGCAATTAATACCCCATAAAACTGTAATACCCTCTTTAAAGGGAGAATATCACGCTATTTTCTGATCTACGTTGTAAAGTTTCCTCATCACAAACATACCGGGAGTTGTGTGTGGTTTCATTCACACATGTTTAACCCACAAACCCTGCATATTTAGGCTGTGTTCCTCTCTCAAACATAAAACACTCAGTTCCACCTTGTAATGTCATGTAGTAACAAAGGAAATGCTCCATACACTTTAACTACAGGGTCCCCACTCTTTTTCACTGACAAAATTTCAAAACTTTTCTATGATTTTTCATGACCTAAAGTGAATTTCCTTGACTCCCGACATGTGTAGAATTGATACTTTTAGAGCTAAATATGAAATGTTAACCCTTTCCTCTCACCTTATGGCAGGGGTGTCAAACTCATTTTGGTCCGGGGGCCGTATCCAACCTACTTTGATCCCAAAGGGGCCGGATCAGAAAACTCATGTCATATAAACCCCAAAAATAACAATAATTTAAATATTTGTGCAGAGAAACACAAATCTATTACAGAAATCTTTTTTAATTGGTGAACTCTTTCTTTTACAAAATATTATAATATTATGAACAACCTGAAACTTTAAGAAAAATACAATTTCAACACAAAGTTTTAACATTAACTTGTCTGTAAATAGGAATAAGTAAATTTTTGTTGTAAAATCCTGCACTCGGCTCCACTTTTCTCATTTTGGACATTTTGTTGATGAGTTGTCACGGTCAACAGTCAAAACGATCGTCCTTTAAGAGTGTTTGGAAAGAGACAAGTCTTCATTTGTGCTGCTCTGGTGGGAGGGGCCACGTACAGAGACGTTGGAGATGCTGCTGTGATAAACACCACAGAAAATTACCCATATTTTAATAGAAAATATAATTCAAATATTTTAGTAGAAAATCTGCCGAGGGCCAGATTAAAGGTCTTGGAGGGCCGAATCTGGCCCCCGGGCCGTATGTTTGACACCTGTGCCTTATGGTTTGGTATTACAGTTTTTAACATTCAAAATCCTGTCAGTGCATTTGTTGTTGTTTCTTTTAAACAAAAAGCGCATATGTTCGGAAATAATCATCATAGTTTAATGAGAACTTAACAGAACGCTGTAGTTGGCGTGAAAGAGATACTAAAATTCCATGACTTTTCCAAAACTTTCATTGAATTTACAAAGACATTTTCAATTTCAATGACTTTTTCCAGGATTTCCATGACCGTGAGAACCCTGTAACTGGAATAATTTGGATCATTTCAGACCTGGAATTGCTAGAATCTGGTGCACTAAAGGTAAAAGGTAGCTGTTAACTTGAAAACTATCGGGCTCTGGACATAAAGAAACATCCACTGACCCACAGGTTGGCGGTGTAATTCCAGCTCTCACAGATGAACGCTGTTGTTGTGTCTTTGGGCAAGACACTTCACCCACCTCGCCCCTAGTGTCTGCATACACTGGTGTGTGAATGAGTAAGTGTTTCCTTGTTGTAAAGTGCTTTGAGAGCCTTAAAGATGGAAAACCACTGTGTAAAAACGTGACTATTTACCATCACCGTACCACTCCATGACATCACAAGGTGGAGCAGAGCATTTTGAGCTTTGGAGATGTAGACAGACTAATAATATAGGCTAACTCAGACATGTGTGAATCGAACAAAACACAACTCCAGATATGTTTTTGATGAGGCAACATTGTTCTAACACGACTTAAAGCTCACAGGAGTCAATTTTGCGTAATGTAGGAGCTTTTTTAAAAAAACAAAACATATTTCCGTTACTTCACTTGGCCTTTTCTAACTAGTTTCACACAAGTTACCGCCGCCTGCCAGCCAACGGTCCATCCCCCACGTCTTCTGTTTATCCAACATGACGCCGGACACTTTAAACACATCACTTGCAGTTCATTTACTCATCCGTTTTTCCAGACCGGACTGAGAGAGGCAAAGCTTTGTGCAATAGAACAAACGCCATGTCCCTGTGGCCCTGTCTGTGTGTGTGTGTGTGTGTGTGCTTCTTCTTATTACAGACACACTAATTAGAGGCTCATTAGTGTAATTAATATTCACTGATCCCACTCCCACTAGTCACAACATCAAAATACACACACACACGAGGAGCAACAGGGAGCCTCGTAGACAGTGGTTGAATGGATCGTAAAATGCAGTTAAATATTATTACTGCTTATGTTAATGGACTTGTACTGCGTTTCTCCACGTATTCCCAAGTACAGATGTATTGTATAAGCAGCTCTTCAGGTCAAAATACGTCCGCTGCCTGCTGTCTGCGTCTAATTGTCAGGAGGTGTGTGTTAGCATGCTAGTTGCTGTTAGTTTTAAGCATGCACGTCATGATAATCTTATTTTTCTAATTGAGTTGTTAAGTTCTATCAAATTGGTGTAATCTCTACTACTATTACTACTACTACTACTGCTACTACTACTACTACTACTACTATTACTACTACGACTACTACGACTACTACTGCTACTACTACTGCATAATGATAAATTTGATCTTCTTTCTATAATGTAATTGTTAATTTATATCACATATAATCTCTACATCTACTACTACTTCTACTACTACTGCTACTACTACTACTACTATTTCTATGACCACCACTACTACTACAACTACTACTACTACTACTGCCACTGCTACTATTGCTACTACTGCTGCTACTGCTATGACTACTGCTGCTGCTGCTGCTACTACAAGGACTACTATGACTACTACTACTGCTACTACTACCACTACTACTAGTACTGTGACTACTACTACTACTACTACTACTACTGCTACTGCTACTACTGCTATGACTACTACTACTGCTGCTGCTACTACAACTACTGCTGCAGCTACTACTACTACTAATACTACTACTACTGCGACTACTACTACTACTACTTCTATGACCACCACTACTACTACAACTACTACTACTACTACTGCCACTGTTACTATTGCTACTACTGCTGCTACTGCTACTACTAGTACTGCTACTGCTACTTCTGCTACTGTGACTACTACTGCTACTACTACTACTGCTACCACCACTACTACTACTACTACCGCTGCTGCTACTACTACTACTACTGCTGCTACTACTGCTGCTACTACTGCTACTACTACTGCTACTACTACGACTACTACTGCTACTACTACGACTACTGCTACTATTACAACTATTACTACTACTGCTGCTACTACTACTACTACTACTAATGCTGCTACTACTGCTACTACTACGACTACTACTGCTACTACTACGACTACTACTGCTACTACTACTACGACTACTGCTACTATTACAACTATTACTACTACTGTTGCTACTACTACTACTACAATCACTACTGCTACTACTGCAGCTAGGATTACTATGACTACTACGACTACTACGACTACTTCTACTGAGTATGAGCCACACATTCATATATTTGGTGGTGTTAATATTTTTTGTAAAGTCTTATGCACCTTTAATAAATGAGGTTTGAAAAAAAAAACCTGTAGTTTGATGGTGGAATGTTTGAAATATTCTATTATGTGAAATCCATTTTCCCTGGAGACAACCAAAATGAATAAAATAATTACTGCACGTATTAATTAATGAGAAGATAAAAGGTATCATTTATCACTCCCATCATTCTGGTGTGAAGTTAATAACTTAATCTGTAACACAGCGTCCCTGTGTTTTAAAAGTGTAAAAACTCAAAATACGCTCTTTTGGAGATTAAATACAAGCCTGGTTTGAACTCAGTTTTAGCCTTGGGTAGACTTGGTTTGGTTCAAGTCCAGGTTTAGTCCAGGTTTAGTCCAGGTTTAGTCCAGGTTTAGTCCAGGTTTTGTCCAGGTTTAGTCCAGGTTTAGTTCAGGTTTAGTTCCAGGTTTATTTCTAGTTAGTCAGAATTTTGATGTGGTGTGTCTGAAAGTATTCTTAAAAATAATGAATAAATAAATGTTAAAAATGTACTACTACTACTACTGCTGCTACTACTACTGATACTACTACTACTACTACTACTACTACTATTACTACTACTGTAAGCTTATCTGGTCTTCTCAAATGAGAGGATAAAGAGTCACACACAGAGCAGTAGACCTACCGCATGGCTCTCAGTGCAAGTTTGTAGGCGAGCTCAGCGTCGTGAGGTAGGAGCGAGGTGAACAGGTAACGGGCAAATGTGTGCATGGGAACACTCTCTCTGTGGACGATCTCCCCCAGGCCAGAGTACGGACCAGCTGTGGACACACAGAGAAAAATATTATTATAATCAACTCATACAAGGAACGATATATACAGACAGACAGAGAGAAAAAATGTGTTAGAAATGAAACACAAGAAAATATGTGTAAGAAAAAATTGCAGCAGCAGTCAAAGGAAGGCGCCCATGTCTTGCTAAATAAAAGAAAACTCTAAATGAAGCCTCAGGTGAGTCATTGTTGTTAGTTGCTGACAGAAATAGCATGTGGTTAAAATTAAAGCAACTCTGTTCAACTTTCTGTAACTTTCACCTACATGATTCCCTGGAAAAAACGTTAAACCCACACTTTCCAAGGAGATACAGTAGATGTGTTTGCATATTTATCATAAAATACTGTGGAATATTATAGCATTTTTTCAGTGCAATAAAAACATCCAATACAAATAACATAACATTATTAAATAGTTATGCCAAAAAGTTACACGGTTGGGCTTTAATTTGAGCAGGTTTACATTGTGATGTGTTGAATTGTAATCCTTTAAAATGAAAAAGTATTTAGAAATCAAATTAATAATAATTCCAACCTGTAGTAATGTGTAATGTGTGAACAGAGGTAAGACGTACAGGAGGAATCATGTGAGGACACATGTGGAGCTCTGGCCCCACACACACAGTGACATCAGCTCACATATGGAGCTGTGTGCAGCCCTCTCCAGGCCCTCCCTCTGCTCCGCACTTCCTCTCAGTCTCTGGTGGTTATTTTAAACCCGAGCCGCCTGTGAGTGGTCCACCACATCAGAGCAGAGCGGCCCGGGCCCCAGGGGCCCACAGAGGCCCTGAGGCCTGGGGCTCCATTAGCTCCAGAGTCAGAGGTGGGTGGTCCTGGTTTGGGTGGGGCTGTGGGCCTGACCCCTCTATGGTTTCCCATAAGCAGAGACCTGTGGGCGTGCAGTCATCACAATGTGGGACCGTACATAGTCTGTACACGATTCATAGAGACCTGCCTCCCTTATGAGGACAAGCATCAGTTCAAATATGGGTTAAACTATGTTAAGGAGGTATGGTCCACATATGTGCACTGACTGTAAAGATACGACATCAGATGGAAAGGACAACTTTTGACAAGGTTATAATTAATAAAATGTTTTAACTGGTGAGAACTGTTCTAGAGGTACACCACAGACACTGAACAGATGATTTTAAATAGAAATCCATACATTACAGTTGTTCAGCATTATTCACAGATGACTAGAATCTCAAGACGTGGCTCAGAAGTTAAGGGAAGGGCTTTTGCACTGGTTTCCAGGGAATGAGAGCCCCAAAAGCACTGAAATCCCACATGAGAGTGATGTGTGCCGTGTGTGTGTGCTGTGTGTGTGCTGTGTGTGTGCGTGTGTGCTGTGTGTGTGTGTGTGTGTGCTGTGTGTGTGTGTGTGCTGTGTGTGTGTGTGTGTGTGTGTGTGTGCGTGTGTTGTGTGTGTGTGCTGTGTGTGTGCGTGTGTGTGCTGTGTGTGTGCGTGTGTGCTGTGTGTGCTGTGTGTGTGTGTGTGCCGTGTGTGTCTGTGTGTGTGCTGTGTGTGCTGTGTGTGTGTGCTGTGTGTGTGCCGTGTGTGTGCTGTGTGTGTGCTGTGTGTGTGCTGTGTGTGTGTGCCTGTGTGTGTGCTGTGTGTGTGCTGTGTGTGTGTGCGTGTGTGTGTGTGTGTGTGTGTGTGCTGTGTGTGTGTGCTGTGTGTGTGCTGTGTGTGTGCTGTGTGTGTGCCTGTGTGTGTGTGCCGTGTGTGTGTGTGTGTGTGTGTGTGTGTGTGTGTGTGCCTGTGTGTGTGTGTGTGTGTGCCGTGTGTGTGCCGTGTGTGTGCTGTGTGTGTGCCTGTGTGTGTGCTGTGTGTGTGCTGTGTGTGTGCTGTGTGTGTGCCGTGTGTGTGCGTGTGTGTCGTGTGTGTGCTGTGTGTGTGCTGTGTGTGTGCTGTGTGTGTGCTGTGTGTGTGTGCCGTGTGTGTCTGGGTGTCTGGGTGTCACTGTGTAAAGAGCTCATTTTGGTCGGGCCCATGGCAGCTCGGCCTCTGTTTGCACCACAAAATGAAAGGATAATAAACACGCAGCATAAGCCAATGGGTTTTTCTCTTCAAAGTGGCACTGTGTGGTTTTGGGGAATGTGCCACCTACAGGCCACAAGGTGAAACCTGCAAACTCAAGACATACATGTGGAGAACATGCACACCGCAAAGCCCCACCCACACCAGGGATCACACCAACTCTGTAACACCACACATACTTCAACTTTATAAAAACTATTACATGGAAGAACCACCTACCACTTCACTAAATACATTTCCCGTATTTCTCATTTCTCATTTTTCTGTACTATTTGTGAAAATTGTATATTAAAAAGTTTCAAAGCTCATTCAGAGCTAATCAGCAATCTGGTAACTAATGACCACAAGACCTATAGATTTATTTAAATCTGCTTCTGATATGTTATGAACTGCCACGTTATTAAAATCTAATTCAATTAAAAGTTTCCAAATGTTTTTGATCTGAAAACAAGTACCCTGGTTAACCTCCACTGTGACTTATATTGGACATTTTCTAAAAGGCTGTGGGAAAATGAATGGGAAATTTACTTCCAGAACCACAGCAGACTCCGAAGTGACTGTTGGGCTCCATCTGGATTTTATTTATATATGAAAATAAGGGCTGAGATTAATCACTTAATTTAGCAAAAATTTTTTTTTTTTATTATTATTTTGAACATCTCTTATAATTCCAGAATAATATGATGACCTCTATATATTTATATATATTTTATATTTGGAGGGATATCAGTCTGGTCACTGTTCCCTCCATTGTGTCTCAAACCAGAGCCAAACATCATTGTCCAATCAGATTAGCCTATTTCAGTGATGCAGTGAAGTGAAAAAGCTCATTGGTCACCTGTCATTTACAAACAAAATGACATTTCTCTCACCTCAAATTAAGAGCTCAGCATTTCGCTCATTGATTCTGTAGAAATGTGTAATGTTTTTCAAAATAATTCCAATATTTTTTCAGTTTTTCTTATAAGTAGTTACAATTGTTTAGATTTTGATATGGAACATGAAGTCCCTTATTGGCTCCTACATCTGAAAACAGTGAGATTTACCAGTGACCAGACTCACATCTTTGTAAAGTAATGAAAACAGTAAGTGTGTATATGAGATCCCAGACAGATTTTGAACATGAACTACCCATGAATAGCTAGTTAGTGACTAACATGTGGACTCAGATCTAAAGTTACCAAAAACATAAACAGTGAATCAAATCTCTCACCCTCCAACAGAAAGACCGCTTGTTTTCGGAAGATTTTGACCAGGGAGTCGTCCAGTTCCACTTCCTGTAGCTTGGCCAATAGCTGCTCTTCATTGCGACACACCTTCTCCTGCGCGTACAGCCCGTCAGGCATCACCCGCTGCTGCCCTAAGCCAATCAGAGCCGTCTCCACCGCCAGCGCCACGTACGATTCGCCGTCTCCAAGCAGCCTCTGCACGGGCAACCGCTGAAGCTCCGCCCTGCTCACAACACTGGAACAGTCTGGGGAAAGGAAAAAAAGAGAAAGTTGTGGTTAGTAGGTCTGGTTATAGTTAATACAATGTGTTTTTCTACTGGCAGCATTTTAGTCAAGACTTAAATCTCAAGAAGTTTTAAAGTGTCCATATTACGCCATTTCCTGATGTACGTTATAATGTTTCCTCATCAAAAACAGACCTGGAGTTGTGTTTTGTTTCATTCACGCATTTAAATCACAAACCCTGCAGATTTACTGAGCTCTTCTCTGAAACAGAAAACACTCTTCCCCCTTGTGATGTCACGTGTTAATACAGGAAGTGCTCTACTTCACATCTTCACAAGAATCATTTGGACGCCATCTCTTAAATGCGAGGGAGAAACGTTTAATGCCATACTGTTGAACATTCCAGGCAAAACCAAGCAGAAGTAATAGTATTTCTTTCAAATCTTTGGTTATATCATGTTACAAAAGTGAAAAAAAGGAATGCTGTGTAGGAGTGTGCAAAAATATCAAGATAGCGATATATCGTATTGTTTAATTTGATGATACAGTATCGTTATCGTGGGCTGCTCTATTGATATATTTTTTTGGTGTATTTTACTCAATTATTTTGTCACAGAGCTACAGTTTTGTTGTTTGTTTAGAGCAGGGGTGTCCAAACTTTTTCATCAAGAGTCACATATCTAAACACAGACGGATCACAGACGGAAACACAGACCGTAGACTGGTGCTCAACACAGTGAATAATTGAAATATGTGCATGTTTAAACACATTATAATGAGTCTTTATTCATGCTAAGATCCTAAAAACCACACACTAAATACTACATATGAGCTTTATCAAGGTAGACTTTCAAAAAAAACTTGTAGTAAAAAGTAAAATTGAATTGATTCAAGGTAATTTGGGCCAATTCACCCGGAAGCCTGAGGGCCATGAAAAATTTGTCTGAGGACCGCATTTAGCCCACGGGCCACAGGTTGGACAGGCCTGGTTTAGAGGAAGGAAACTCGTTTATGCGACACATTTGACATTTTCACTGTTTTGATGATTAAAATGTTTGTGTTTCATATGAACTTTGCACAAGAAGTGGTTTAACAAAGACTTTTAGCATCACAGCCACGATTTAGCCTTTATTTTTATTGAAAGCGCACTGTATCGAGGTATGTATCGTATCGGCAACTTCTTACTGATACCCGGCCCTAATGCTGTGTGCTGTCTGTATGATTGTATGGGTAAGATTTGTGAGAGCAAAAATAAGTTACACAAACATTTGAAACTTCACTTTGGCTGTGGTCTGGGCGTGCTTGTTTCCTGGAGTTGTGCATCAATTTGTCCTGTGGGGATAATAACAGCTCCATGACCCTAACTACCCCCGCTGTCATGGTTTGAAAGTAAGGCGAAGGTTAGGGTATACTTTATAGTCCCAACTGGGTCATTTGTCCTCTGCATTTGACCCATCCTTCAATACCGCTGGGACCATCTGTCAGGAGCAGGAAACTAGGTGTGGTCAGGACTAGCCCAAAGTTTATATAATGATTTGGGCTGACAGAAAATAGTGAATCAAAATCTGTGCTCAGTTGCATACGATATAATGTCACTTAAAGGTCTTATATTATGTCAAACTGACTCTGGTAAGATTTAAGCCATGTTATAATGTTGTTACTTCATCAAAAACAGACCTGGAGTTGTGTTTTGTTTCATTCACACATGTTTGAGCAACTTTTTATTATTAGTCTGTCTATCTCCAAAGCTCAAAATGCTCTGTGCCACCTTGTGATGTCATGAATGGGTAGTTTTCAAGTTAAGAGATTGGCGATTCCTGGGCTGAAATGATCCAAATTAGTTTAAAAACACAGTGGAGCACTTCCACATTACCACATGACATGACAAGGAGTGTTTTCAGTCTGACAGAAGACCTCAGCCTAAATTTGCAGGGTTTAAATACCTGATTATTGATTTCCTCTCCTGAAAAAGTTAAAAGGTATCGATACCTGATTGAACGAGTACCAGTTTCAGTACTGATTTGTATCTGAGTACCAGTTTTCTTGACAATAATAAAAGGGAATTCACAGTAGTCTGAGGAAACTTACCCACACACAGGACGAACAAGCAAAAAAATAAATAATCGTGCTCTGACTTTTTCTTTTGTTTTGTTACCAGGGACCTTCTTGCTCTCATCCAACTTGTTGAATGTGCTAATTATTATTGGAGCTTTATAATAATGATGCGATAAACCTGTAATTTTTGTCATTTTTATCAGAATTTAAAGGACCCATACTGTGTTATTTTCTAATCGATGTTATAATGTTGTTTCCTCATTAAAAACAAACCTGGAGTTGTGTTTTGTTTCATTCACACGTGTTTGAGTAGCTTTTTTATTATTAGTCTGTCTATCTCCAAAATTCAAAATGCTCTGTGCCACCTTGTGATGTCATGAATCGGTGGTTTTCAAGTTAAGAGATTGGCGATTCCTGGGCTCAAATGATCTAAATGATTCTAGTAAAGGTGTGTGGAGTTTAAAAACACAGTGAAACACTTCCTGTATCACCACAAAAAAAGAAATCGCAAGGAGTGTTTTCACCTCAGCCTAAATCTGCAGGGTTTAAACACAGAGATTTCCCGATTATTGATTTCTTCTCCTGAAAAAGTTAAAAGGTATCGATACCTGACTGAATCCGTATTAGTTTTGATACCAGTTTCAGCATTGATTTGTATCTTGAGGACCAATTTTCTTGACAATCATAAAAGTGAATTCACAGTAGTCAGAGAAAACCTACCCACACACAGAAACAACATACAAAACATAAATAAATAAGTACATTTTAAAAAAGCTCCATCGTGCTCTGACTTTTTGTTTTGTTTTGTTTTGCTACCAAGGACCTTCTTGCTGAGTTGAATGTGTGAATTGGATATTGGAGCTTTAAAATAATGATGCTAAAAACCTGTAATTTTTGTCATTTTTATCAGAATTTAAAGGACCCACACTGAGTTATTTTCTAATCGATGTTATAATGTTGTTTCCTCATTAAAAACAAACCTGGAGTTGTGTTTTGTTTCATTCACACATGTTTAAAAAAAAAACATAAACTCGGAATATTTAAACTGAATTCTTCTCCGTTCCACCTTGTGATGTCATGTGCTAATACAGGAAGCGCTCCACTGTGTTTTTAAACTCCATGCACCGTCACTAGAATAATTTGGATAATTGCAGCTCTAGAACTGTTAGATTAGGTAAGGTTAGGTTGTTTTATTTGTACCTATTGGTAAATTTGTTTTGCAGATTTGAGCGGCAGGTCCCACATTTCATCAGACGGTTTCACTTCGTAGAAACCGTCTGACCTCGCAGTGTTAGAATTAGTTCGCTCGACGGTAGGCGGGTACTGTTTATCATTTAACTAATCGCTGCTATTTGGTCATGATGTGTGTAACGCGCCGCTAAACGGGGTAACTTGTATAATAAGCTTTTCCCAAATTCCATAAGAAGAAGAGCAATAACGTCTTTCCCCTTGATGAAATTCACCGAACATTCTCTTTATTCCAGCTTTAAATCCTCAATCTCGGGAATTGTTGCCAACACAGAATGTATCACTCTTCGCTGATTGGCTGGTGCCCAAACTTGCACTTCCGGGGTTTTTGCGAACCATCTAGTGTATTTTAATTCCTGACCTAGTCGCTGGAGAGAAATAAAATTGGGCGGAGGCACTAGACGGCACCAACCTGGCTGACATTTCACATTTTGTCCTCTTTATGTGCAATAAACACATATAAAAACGCAATTGCAAAAATAATTACAAAAGTGTTACAGTGCTCCATTGCAGAATGGTTTGTTCCATAAACAATAAGTTAAATTCATCCATTACGCTTGGCTAAAAACACAATAAATATGAAATATATATAAAAACACATGATTTTTCCAAGGTAAAAGTGAACAGAGCATTTGGAGCTTTGGAGATGTAAGCAGCCTGATAATTGAGGATTTCTCAAACTTGTGTGTATGCAACAAAACAAAAGACAACTCCAGGTCTGTTTTTGAGGAGGTAACAACATTATATCATGGCTTAAAACTCACTAAAATCTATTTTACGTAATATAGGACCTTTAAACCACCAACAAAAAAACATGCCATTGTCCTTTGTTTAGACTTTATACTGCCTCTTGTTGAAAAGCAAAGTTTCAGTCCTACATTGGAGACCAGAATAGAGAAGCCCGCCCAAAGTAAAGATCAACACCTCTGGAACATTCTCCGGTCTAAGCTGTTACCTCAGAGGAGAGGCTATTTCTGTGAGCGGAGGAGCCAATGAGGCCTGAGCAGGAGCAGTGTGGGAGAACGGCGTTTAAAATGGAAGAGATAAGACAAGGTGAATTTGGAATGAACCCAACTTTCCTCCGCTGTCTGCATCGCAACTATGTCAAGACTAAGAACTATGCAGACACAATTCAAAGTCATATTATAATGTGAAATGAGTCATTGGTCAAAGAATAAAACCCGTATAATCTGATTTATACAGAAAAGGACGTTTGTAGCACAGTCCAGGAATAACTTTGTTGCCATAGAAAAAGGGTTGGTTTTAAAGGGAGTGCAGTGCTTCAAATGGATTACATTTTAATAAAAAACAGTTAAACCTGGGAATGCCTAGAATAATGGAAAATTAGGACAGTTTCCATAGCAATTAACAATTTAAAACAATGGGGAAAATCCTCAAAATCTTGCTTATCTCAGGACGCTGAAACCCACGAATACTGAGAAATAGAGCTGGATATCGTTAGGAAGTTGCCGATACGATACAAACCTCGATACATAGATCACGATATGATACATATTTCGATACAGCACACTTAAGATTTGACACGATACATCTCAAATGTATTCAATACGGTTCAATATAAAATAACAACTAAATCATGGCTGTGATATTAAAGTCTTTGTTAAACCACTTCTTGTGCAAAGTTCATACGAAACACTACATTTTAATCATCAAAACAGTGAAAATGTCAAATGTGTCGCATAAACAAGTTTCCATCCTCTAAACAAACAACAAAACTGTAGCTGTAACAAAATAATTGAGTAAAATATACAAAAAAAATACTCTTGGCGATATATCGATACAGCAGCGCATGATATCGATACTGTATCATCACATTTAACGATACAATATATCACTATTTCAATATTTTTATATCACATCATAGAGTCTTTAGGGTTTATTTCAAACTGAACTGAGTCTTTGGATCTGGCAACCGAAAAGTGAAGAGCTCATTCTGCTTTCTGATCAAATAACTGGATTAAGAAGCAAAACAAAACACAAAAACATTATGTAAAATGCTTTGTCAGTTGTGAATATATAATCTTTACAATCCATTTTCGATTAACTTTATATCAGAGGTCACAGATAAGTAATGTTTATGAATTTTATAGATACATTCTTCACTTCTTCTTCTCCAGATTTAGTTTTGGATTTTGTCCCAGTTAAGTCCAAATTTCGATGTAGTCTGAGTGTAAGTGAGAACACGCTCTTAAATTAAAAGATGTGCTCCATTTGATGTTGAAGCTTGTGAATATTCTGAACTTTCAGAGCACTTTTCTCTTTTAAAGTTCCTTTTTATAATGGTTATTTGTGTTTTCGTTTGGTGTTTTGCACATCTTTCTTATTCTGTTAAGCACCTTGAATTACTTTGTGTACAATTTCACAGATGAGTAATGTTCATGAATTGTACAGATAAGTTGTACATATACTACAAAACTTCCCTCCATGCTTTAAGTTTGTTCTCAACTAAAAGCTTTTTCTAACGTGTGTGTGTTTTTTTAGTTTTTTTTACTACAAATAGAAAATAAAATAATTTCATGTTTTTTGTTTTGTTTAGTTTTTTGTCACTATTGAAATGAAACAAACAAAAACAAAACAAAAAAAAAGACAAAAACTAAACAAAAACCCTCCCACGCCCCACTCCTCTCTCCACACTAAACACACAAAAATAAACTAACCTAACCCAGTTTTAATATTCAGTTTGTGTGGTAGATTTACCTGAGAGGTCTAAGCAGGTGGTAGCGCCCTCGTCTCCCCCTCGGCCCGACTCGGTGAGGGTGCTGAACAGGGTCCCGATGGGGTCCAGCGGGTGGCCCACCCAGCCCTCCATGTTGGTGATAGAAGTGTGGCCCTTTTGAAGCAACTCTACAAGAAGACAGGAAAGAAATATTCATTTAAATGCATGAATTCAAACAGTATTCACAAAGAGGACTAACACCAGTAAAGTGCAGAAAGTGTTTTTCAATTTGATGAGTAATAAAATTGCCATTGTCACATTTTCAAAAGCTAGTTTCGTTTGTTGTGTATATAATTACCATAATTATAGAAGCTGATATTTTGTAATTATTTAGCTCATTGGTTCATTTCTTGTGGATTGCAATTATTACTATGAATTTTTAGTAACATAAACTCTAAAAGATGGTGATGGAAATAAAACATAATATAAAGACAATCATATATATGGACTGGCTGGTCCTGGTTTGAGCCCTGTTCAGATTTAAACTTAGACAATTGGACAGTTCTGAAGATGGCTTGCAGCAAGCAGCCGAAACATGTCAACAAGGTAAACACACTTTCCTGTATTGTCTTTAAAAAAAAACCCAAGAAGTTGATCCACAAAGGAAATTTCTTGGACACATAAGCTCACACATTACAACAGAATATAATAACAAAGAGCAACAAACATAAATTACATAATAATTTCAAAATAACCAGCAAGACTCCTGATGTAGACATGGTTTAGCCCTGGTCTAGTCCTGGTTTAGTTCCGGGGTTTGTCCAAATATTGATGTGGTTTGTGTTTAAGTGAGAACGCACCCTGAGTTTAAAAGATAAGTTTCATTTGATATTTGAGCTTGATAACACTTTGAACTTCACAGCACACTCCTTTCTTTAATAATGGTTATTTGGATTTGTGATTTCAGTGTTTTTCTTATTCTGTGAACCACTTTGAATTACTTCTTTGTACACGTTTTCTTACACAGATAAACCTTGCCACAGTAAAGTAAAACCCTGGTACCATAAACAGCAGCTTCATTAGAGTGTCACCTTTCTTGTGTCGTCGGAAGTGATCGAGCTGCCTCTGCTGTTGTCTCCGCAGCGTGTTCACGACGGCGATGGCGAGACGCAGCGCCTCCCGGGGGTAACCGTGGGAACGCAGGGCATCCACTCGGGCACAGGCCGTGGGCACATGCTCTGCAGAAACAGCACACGCAAGCATAAAGCAACGGAAACTCTGCACCCCCTCCGCACTTTTAAACAAACACCTTTATGAATATTAAACAGACAATTGTTCTTAGTTGTTTAAAACGTTGATCTTGATCTGGTCCAATGTGTAACTTTTCTGATGGTGGGTCCACCGCCTGCTTGTCTCCATGGAGATGTTATTGCTTTATCTGGAAAGTTCCACAGTACTGCATGAAACATTTATCCTTTATTTAAATTTTATTGCTCAAATACACTGAGAAACAGGACTTGTCTTTGATGAGCGGGGGTCTGCTTCTTCACAGATCTGACTTGTAACTTTCCTAGTGACATCACCTACTTGTCTCCATGGAGATGCTATTGTTTTATGGCATTAAACCTCTTTGTATTGTGTATTATTTATTTCAATACAGATATTTTTATTGCTCAAATACACTGAAAAACAGAGCTTGTCTTTATGAGGGGAGGTCTGCCTCTCCACAGATCTGATTTGTAACTTTCCTAGTGACGTCACTTACTTGTCTCCATGGAAATGCTTTAATGTTTTATGGTATTAAACATATTTAACATATATATTAATTTCAATACAGATCATTTTATTGTTCAAATACACTGAAAACACACCTTCTCTTTGTGACCAGGGCTGCCTCTCCACAGATCTGGCTTGTAACTTTCCTAGTGATGTCACATACATGTTTCCATGGAGATGCTTTTGTTTTACAGCATTAAACGTATTTAACATGTATTATTTATTTCAATACAGATATTTTTTCATTGCTTAAATACACTGAAAAACAGGACTTGTTTTTATGTGTGGGGGGCTGCCTCTTCACAGATCTGACTTGTGACTTTCCTAATGACGTCACCTACATGTCACCATGGAGATGCTATTGTTTTATGGCATTAAACATATTTGAATTGTGTATTATTTATTTCAATACAGATATTTTTATTGCTCAAATACACTGAAAACCATGGCTTCTCTCTGTGACCAGGGCTGCCTCTCCACAGATCTGACTTGTATCTTGGCCTGGTCACGTCACTGACTCGTCTCCATGGAGAAATTCAAGTTTGGTAAAGCAATAACATCTCCATGGAGACAGCAGACGCAGGTGACAGACCATCCAACAGAAAAGTTAGGCGTATACTTTCATAAACTAAAACATTACACGAACAAAAACGATGTAAAAAAAAAACATTCTATATATTTTTGCTCATATCATCCCCTTCAAACCTTACCGTGCCACAGAGGCCAGCCGCGCGCGTCGAACAGCGAGCCCTCCTGGTTGTCGTGGTAACAGTAGTTGGCGTACAGGTCGCTGGCGATGATGTGCTGAAGATGGCGGTCCTGCCAGTGGAGGTCACAGGCTTCGATGGCCCGGGTGAATACAGTCCGATGGGAGCGCATCTCTGGGGCACACGGCAGTTCAATGTGAGATACAGAGGTAAGTGGATTAAGTGGATTATCAGTGACTCAAGAGACCGACAATTAGAGAAGAATTAAGCAGGATCATCCGCAGGTCTAAAAAGGACTTATTTAACAGGTGTTTGGCAGGAAAGCACAGGTGAGCAACAACAACGGCAAAAGGATTTAAACATTTATTATATTACAACAAAACTCTGCATATTAAAGGTGCATTATGTACATTTTTGGTTGCGGGGTCAGCTTGTTGTTTCGATGGATTCGCCATTGCTTTGTCAGAATGTTCCATAGTATGACATTAAACAGCTCTACCTTAAATTTATGAAATTATAGATGATTTTATAGCTCAAAAATACCAAAAAAACAAGCATTCTGACTGTAAGTGGGGTTGCTTCTCCACAGATCTGACCTGTAACTTGGGCCCCGTCTACACTAGTACATATTCAAATGGTTTTTGTTGCGGATGCAGTGTTTGTCCACATTAATGCGATGGAAAACGGCTCCAGAGACGGAACGATCTGGTGCCGCCAGCTCCCATGAATTCATCTGAGTACGAATCTGATCCGGCACTGTGTGGACCCCTGAAAACGCTGATACACTGATGTAGATCTATGCGCCGCGAAGAAATTCACCGCCAAAACTCTAAGAGGCTAGAATATATGTCCATTCATATATACGGTCTGTGCGTATGACCTGCAGATGTATAATCTCTGAACAGTTTAACATGAACCATCTCCAAATCGATAGAAGCACAGAACAAACTCACCATCAGCAGAACATCCCTCTGTCACAGAAAGAACACTCATATTCCACCGAGTCGTGTCCTTTAGTCCAACAGAAACTGAACCGCATCAGTGCAAAAGGAGCGAGCTGTTTTTTTTAGCGCTCAGTTTATGCAAATTAGCCATGCAGTTTTAAGTTTCATTTCTGTAAAACGTAAACAAATATGCTCAAAGCTGTGTGGATAAGGAAGGACTGCAGATACAGAAACGACGTGCGTGGACGCAGATTGTTTCCAATACGGTGATACGTGGATTCGTTCCAGTGTAAACGGGGTCTTGGTCTGGTTTGGGGTCCATGATGATGAAAAAGTTTAATGCCATACTGTGAAACATTCCAGACGAATCAGCCTCCACTAAAAAAGTTACATAAATCATCTTTAACAATATACATTTTACCTAATGCTGATCTCGGTGAACTATTATGGATGCACCGATCTGATACAGGTATCGGTAAAAATTGGCTGGATCGGATGTCAGATTCCAAATATCGGTTCAGTCAGTATTTGGTCGTGAAGTAATAAAACTGTTTACTAGTCATAATTGGTCCAGAAACTCCAAAAAAATCTGAATGTTTGCACTTTTATTTACACAAATTTGTTCAATAGTTACTTAAATAACAGCGACATAGTCTTATTTTAGTTTAGTTTTAAAGAAACAAATGTTGATATTGTGTATGGGCAGATGCTTAAAGCTATACTATCTCTTAAAAAGGTAAAAGACAAATAATAACTCAGTTTTATTTTCTGATATGTAATAGCAACTTAGCCGTTTTAACATAAAATACTGCATCTTGGTGCTTGACAGGTAGAAATTCGAGTCTTCGTAATTTCACATTTAGATGGGGCTGAAATTATTTTCTACAGTTAAAAGCAGGTGGTCTCACACTTGAGGTCTTTCATGAGGCTTTCCAGTGTTTTTATACCTTTTCAGAACGCGTTGTTTTTGCCCATTAACATCACAAATTACCATAAACAAACATAACATCATCTCGGACATTGGCAGTGTTTAATTCCACAGGAGAGTAGCTGCCAAACTCTTTCTATTCAAACTGAGATTTTCCACTAAAAGGATCTAAAATACATCAAACACATCACAAAATTCTATAGGTTTATAACGTGTAAAGGAAAGGTTACAGAATGAGATGCCCTAATCTCAAAATGGGGTCAATATAAGGGCCTGTTTTCTCTATTTGTTATACTAGATGTTGGTATTAAATATCTAGGAAAAATAATTTATTATTGCTTCCTGTGATCTTAGCATGTGACCAAACATCTACACGTTAACCACATTAATTTTATTCGCCCCTCATTACAGCACAGGATTACATGGCATTTAATTAAGGAACGCAACTAGGCCCATAAACTTACAACATTTTATAGAATGGTGTGATCATTTTAATTATATATGTAAAAAAAAAAGTGAATATAAAAAATAAAAACATCATCGCTAATTTATCAGCCCCAGTTTCTATTAAATATTATAATTCTTTTTAATAACGTGACATCAGGTGAACAATTGGTTTTAAAGGATGATATGGTAAGAAATGTCCAATTCTGCACAAACATTAAATCGATTCATTTGCAAAAAGGGAAAGGCGCCCGTGCACACACTAATACAACCATACTCTGCATATTGATAACTTTATTGATAATTTGACCCCATTTTAATTAAATACTACATAAGGTCTATTGAATGTTGTGGTGTCGCGTGAAGCAGTGCACCGGAGCTCACATCTGCACTTGTGGGAATTAAAACATGTTACGGACAGCTGTACAAAGTTGTCAATCACTGACCTTGGTTGCCATGGGCACCCTGAGGCAGTGAGTGGGTGAGGTTGGGCAGATCGTTGCCGTGGTTACCGTCCTCCCAGGGGCACACGTCCACGCTGTTCCATCTGCGCAGCTGCCGCAGCCACGAGCTCTTCTGCTCCGGTTTACAGTGAGGGTTCAGCACGATGCACATCCACAGGGCCCCTACACAAACACGAACACAAACACGAACACAAACACAAACACAAACAATATTTAAAACACGGCAGAAGACAAAGGGGGCAAAGGTGTCTGTTTTTCTGGATTCCAGGGTTTTAGCGGCCCAGAATTTGACCCTCTTCCTTTTAATTTATATTAGAGGGGGGCCCATGTGAGGCTTCCTACCCGAGGCCCCGAAATTTCTGTCGACGGGCCTGCTCAAAACTATTATTTATACTGCAAGAACTAAAATCCAGCCAAGTTAGATGACTTGAATTAAGAAAGTTTTTATCACAATTTGAGTAACTTCACTTGACAAGTAACACTAGAACAAGGCTTTTTGTTCACAAAATATGAAAATACATCTTGCAAGACTTAGGATAAGAAAAACAACAGCTCTTTGCACTTAAAATAAGAAACTAAATCTAATGTTGCTTGAATTAAATAACACACGTGCTCCATTCGTAGCTCATTTTACTTGTCAACTTGAATTTACTCAAATAAAGTAAAATGCTCTTAATTTAAGTCATTTTAATTTACCTAGATATTATTTTTTGTAGTGTACATGAATATAGAAAGTATACAACACATCAGGGAGTGTCTTCAAAACTCCTACACAGAGTTATCCACACCATCACAGTTTTTATTACTTTTTAAAGGCCTGTTTACAATAAAAATATTTGATCAGAAGTGCGTTTTGTTTAGACGATGACGGCGGTTTTGGGGCTTAAAAATGCAAAAACCTGAAACCACCCTCCAAAGTGGAAAAGTTCAAAACACTCCGCCGTCGCGTTTCCGTCTACACTGACAAGACGCAAAACTCTGGTCAGATCTGCTCACGTCGTGTACAAGTTTACGTCACAAACATACAGCATACAAAAACAAACATGTCAGATGGCGTGCATACCCAGTCGAATTGCACACAGTTTTGCGGCAGATTTCCTCCCGAATACACTTGTCTAAATGCAAAATAAAAAGTGAAGAACGCGACTCCACGTTTGCGTCTTCTGTTCAGACCGTCATCATATAAACGTAGCCTTACACAAAACAACTTTTCTGGTCAAGGGTTCGTCACATCATGTCTCCAAACAGATGTTACTGATTTACCTAGAATGATTCACAAAATGGCTCTAAAAAAAAGTAAATTCTATCAACTGGACAAATGTTGACATGTGGCTTCTTCAGTTCTGGTCCCATTTCTGGTGGACACTGCCTTATATCTGTCTGAAGGGAGGAGCTACCTACACTGAAAGTAGAACACATATTTGTTTACATTTTGTTTACAGAGTCATATTAGCATAATCGTTCAGGCCCATATGCACACTGGCTTTCACTGTTGTTTTCCTTGACGCTTGGACGAGCTGCAAAACTTCACTCTGAAAAACCTTTATCCACTTGACGGAACTGAATTTGTCTTTTGCTATGGTCCCTAAATCTAAACCTATTTGGACTTAATTTCTTTACCGGTGTTTTGAATAATACAAATTAATTGAAGTACATTCTTGCTGGGAGCTGGTCGCCTCAAACACAGATCAGACTTATAATGTAGCTTGATGGTGTTACCTACTTGCAAAGGTAGGAACTTGCAAGTCGTGACTTGGACTCGAGTCAGACTTGAGTCACTATTTTTAGGACTTGAGACTTGACTTGGACTTGAAGCTCAGTGCCTTGGGACTTGACTTGGACATGAGGCTTGTGACTTGAAAAGACTTGAGAAACACTTTTAAATCTGATTTCTTTCCATTCTCACTGTAATGATTCACACTAAGATCTTGTCAAGACATTTAAAATACAAATATACTATGTTTTTTAAGTACAATTTATCTTAAAAGTCATATAAACTGCAAAAATCTAACATATATTTGGTACTTTGGTTTAAAGACTTGAAAAGACTTGAAGCTCAAAGCACATGATTTGGACTTGACTTGGACTTATGGGCCAGTGACTCGAGACTCGACTTGAACTTGCCTGTATTTGACTTGGGACTTGACTCGGACTTGAGGTCGAAGACTTGAGACTTACTTGAAACTTGCAAAACATGGTCCTACCTTTGCTCACTAGTCTCCAGGGAGAAATTTAATCCCACATCATGGAACATTCCAGGAAAATTTTAATGTTAAGTTTCCTGTTTTTCCTCTTCGTTTGATTTTTGACGTCATTGCTTTGTCTGAAATGTTCCACAGTAGCATTAAACGTATATATCTTGCGCTTTTTCAGTTGCATGTGTTTTTATTTCTTAAAAAAACATAAGCGGGGTCGCCTTTCTATAGATCTGACTCGTAACTGGGCATGGCGGTGTCACTTTTTGGTCTCCAGGGAGGTAGATTCGTTTCATGCAATACTGTGGAGCATTCTGAACAAAGCAGCGACATCTCCATGGAGACGAGGAGGTAACGGACCCTCCACCAGAAAAGTTACAGAGTGCACCTTTAATGTTGCATGGCTCTTGTCTCAACTGTTCTGTTTTTTAGTTAAGGTTTCATTAGTGGAAAAAACATTGCTTAAATACTTTTAGTCATAGTTTTAGTCAGTTCTAATTACTTTTCATTAAGTTTAAATTGGTTTTAGACAGGAAAATACTTTTTGGAAAACATTCAAGAATCTAAATTAAAAATATAAATCATTCCTGCCTCTTCAGATGGCCTTAATTTCGATTGTAGTTAAGTAAAACGACACATTTTTCTGATCTCAAAACAAGCTACACCTTTGGCATCTTTGACACTGTGGTTAAAATTGGCGAATCCACACAGAGCAAAAACACACAAAGTTCACTGATTTCCTTGTTAACACAATCAACAAAAGTGAAATTATTTTTCTCACAATATCTTCAGAAATCTGAGGAAATTTTCAGCTTTAAAGATGTGATTGTTGTCAGTGAAAAAGACTTTTAAAGGTGCAATGTGCAACTTCAGAATACACTTGACGGTTTGCAAGAACCCCAGAAGCTGTAGACCGAGCACCAGCCAATCAGTGAAGAGCTGTGAAGCTGGCAATTAATTGGAAATCAATGAGCGTTCCGGCGCATTACGTAAGTCACGACCAAATTGCAGCAATTTGTTAAATAAAAAAAAAATTTAAAACTGCCTACCATTGAGCGAACAAATCCTAATGCTGCGAGGTCTGATGGTTTCCACAAAGTGAAACAGGCTAGTAAAAATCTGCGATGGTTCTCAGTTCTTTATGTTGTTTTTTTCTCCTTATATACAGCCCCATGCCTCTCTCTGATTGGTTACTTCGCCTTGCCTGTCAATCACGCCTTCTGAAACCCTCCAGATCCATTTGTCTTTGTTAAGTTTTATCAAAACGTGTGGTTCTGGTTCTGGTGAGGTAAATGATTTGCTGCTATGATTCAACATATAACCCCAGCTCTACCTGCCTTTCCCCTCTGAGTATAACAATGACATCAGCATCTCTGAGTCACATAATGTAGATGGGCTCTTTCCCTCGAGATTTAACTAAGTCCTAAATACAGTTCTCTAGCGAATATTGGCGCTGGAGGCCTGATAGATTCACAACACTTTCGTATGCGGCGGCCATCTTGCACTAGAAAACCAGACTATGAAACAGAGGAGCTAACTAGTCCCGGGGCTACGCTGACTGCACACACATCATTTTGGAGTAAATTGGAACAAACAGAATATGAAAAGTGCTTTGGTCTCCGGGGAAGAGAGGGAGCGATGAGGGATTTCTGCCTTCAAGACTGCTGGAGATGTGTAAATTCAGTACAGAGCTTAGTCATTCAAGGTTCATGTAGGAAGAGAGAGGTTTGTGTGCACAAGCTAATGGAGGAATCATGTTTTTGTATGGATGGAGTTTAGAAGAAGACCACCAACAATACAAGGTAATCTGCGTATCGTTCGTTCATTCCTTTTTCAAAATAAAACCAAAAATAAGAAATCAAAGATACAACAGTTTTCTTTATTATTTGTCTCCAAAACCAAAATGAAAAAACAGATAATGATTAATTTTTTCAGTTTTCGATTATGTGTTTAAACGTATAACGGCCGTTTCCCGTTTCCGTGACTTAAACTGTGATGCGAGACTTTTACACCACATACGGATTGAACCAGGACTAAAAGAGGACTGAATTAGGACTGATTCCAGGACTGAACCAGGAGGACTAAACCAGGACAGAAGTACGACTAAAACAGGACTAAACCAGGACAATAACACATGATTTTTTTCAATTAAAAATGATATTTATATGAAGTATTTATATTTAAATAATTATACGACGTATTTATATTTGTCGCTGAATTTTCATCACCTGAAAAGCTCGAGATCAAACAGTGACAGTCAGTGCGCGTGCAGAGTTTTGTAGTGCAGTTAAGGACAGGAAAATGGTGAGTGTTAAAGTACAAAAAGTTGACAGAGAGTGCCGAGTTTTCAAAGAACGGCGAACGATCGATTATTTTTTGTTCAGTGTAAGGACCGTGCAGTTTGTCTGACATCACAGTCAGGAGCAATAATGTGGCCCCCAGAGAAAAAAAGTTTGGTGACCCTTGATACAGGACCTTACAAAATTGCACAGGAAATGAAAGGATTGTAATTTTTATTGTTATTATTGATTTCTAATGTATGATATTCGCCCATAACAAAAATCTTCCATCTAGACTAGTGCCCAGTATTCAATGGATGCTGGTAGTAATGTTCTATCAAGAAACCTTTACGTATCACAGTTGTATTATGGTACTATAACGTAATTCCTTACAAAATACTATATGGACTCGATATTCAATTGATTGTCAAGATGATCTAAGAGAAGGTTTAGCTGCTTGAGTTTTGCCTGGTGTTGTGTTAGTCCACTTCTTTATACAGTCTGAAGTCCTAAAGTCCAATTTATGACTGCGTCGCCTTGACTGATGTGCACCTACAAAATTTGTAACTATGCAACAGCGTGGGGAAAGTGACGCAGACAATAAGAGCTGTGATTGGTCCTCTCTACTAGCCTGATTCATCAGCCGGTTTCATGTCGTGGAAACCGTCTGACCTCGCAGCATTATGTT